CACAGCCCTGGGTGCGCTGCAGTGGTGGCAGCCCCAGCCCTCACCCACCCACCATCTACTCCTATCCCACCCATGGAAAGGCAGCAGCACGCCTGAGTGCAGGCACGGACGCGGAATGGGGCTTAAACACAGAAACCGAGCCAAGTCCCTGGAGAAGTTTGCGTTGAGGTCCATCGGTTCCTGATGCACTGCTGAATTCAACAGATCCCTCTTTTTCAAAACCTTTACTGATAATTAAGCAAGAACTTGGTTCTTGGGGAAACATAAGGATATCAGGACAACTTGCCGCGACCAGGGCCGCCGCTCACTCCAACCTCCCTAATCACGGGGTCACCAATGACCATGACTCAGCACAACCCCATAAAATGGAGCCCCTTTTAAACCACTAAGGAAGGCACATTAGGTATCTGGTGCCTCCCACCCTCACCCACCACCATCGGCCCGGCCAGTCTTTGCCCTGAGCCTTCCGCTACCAGGCGCTCCGGTTAATGGTCTACATAGGACATTTGCCACCTGGCTGGGTACCGCCCCCCCATGTGCCCTGATTCCCTTCCATCCCGCGTTCAGCATTCAAACTCGGAAGGACGTTTAAGGGCTTGGTCTCCTGTTCTACTGCTCTGAAGCCCTGTGACAAGGCAAGTCGGGCTGGGGGCATCGGAGCCCACAGCTCTCCCGCCCCCTCCAGGATGGCTGTTTCCCCAGAGGCAACCTGAAAATCAACGGGCTCCCAAAGGAGCCGCCCTTGGGACCAGGCCAGGCCCAAATTAACGTCTTCTCGGGCGCTTCTGGCTAAGGCTCTGGCGTTCTTGGGGGGGGGGGGGGGGACGGTGTTCTAAGAAATGGTGAAAAGGAGTAGCTAGAGCTTCATTCCTCCCCCTGGACAAACATTCCTGAGGCCGCAGGGGGCCTGCGGGCACCCAGCTGGCGCACTGAAGGCTTCCTAAGGAATCCCCAACCGCCCTTCTGGAATTCTAGCCCCTCCGGCGACATTTCAGAAATCAGGCCCCTCCGCCACACTCACTGAAGTTCTACATTTGCTGAATTGATGGGGAAAGGAACAGGCAAAAACTGGGACCACGAACAACGCTGTATCTGCTTACACAGGACCCGAGACGGCCTGCATCAAAGCGCACTCTTGGAAACACTAACAAGTCAAAGTACTTGCAGTTTCTGAGGACACTGACATTATTTCCGCTCCCTCTGGGACAGCAGCATGGAAAAATGGGGTTTTGTGTGTTTTCTAGTCCTAGTAAAATGTCAAGCTGCAAGTCAGGGAACACGTATTGAGTGGTTGCAATTCCAGCTGCCACCTTTCAGCAGAGGTCTGGTGGGACTTCACACATGCACTCTGAATTCCAAGAATGCCCCTCCCGGGAAGTCAGGATCCCTTTAACTTCAAACTAGACCCAGGGAAAAGACAGCCCTCACCCAGCAGCCCTGCTGAATGCCCGTAAAACCCAGTACTCGGGAGTTCCCGCTTCGATTTCCTCTTCCCAGCTACAAAAATGCAGATGAAGCAAGTATTTGTTTGAGTTTTACTATGTAAATAAAGCCTATTATCAGGGCCAGGGCCTGGGAAGAAAACAGCCCTCCACGCAAATGCTGGCTATGCCAGGGGCCTCCAGGCACACGCCCCCTACTGGTCAGGGTCTTCAAAAAGAAGAATTAACTTAAGCATGACCTTTAAAAGCTAAAATCCTTTAAGAGCAAAGAGGATGCACCATTAATCTAGCAAGGGTGACTTTTGTACCCAGGGGACACTTGGCAGGGTCTGGAGACTTTTTTTTGGTGAGGAAGACCAGCCCTGAGCTAACATCTCTTGCCAATCCTCCTCTTTTTGCTGAGGAAGATTGGCCCTGGGCTAACATCTGTGCCCATCTTCCTCTACTTTACATGTGGGACGCCACCACAGCATGGCTTGATAAGCGGTGCATAGGTCTGCACCCAGGATCAGAACCCACGAAACCCGGGCGGCTGAAGCAGGGCATGTGAACCTAACCACTATGCCACCAGCTGGCCCCTGCAGATGTTTTGTTGGTTGTCACACCTGGAGAAGGGAGTCCCATGGGGTGGAGGCCAGGGGTGCTGCTGAACATCCTACAACGCACAGGACAGCCCCACAACAAAGAATGATCCAGCCCAGAATACAGATAGTGCCAAGGCTGAAAACCCTCAACTAACGGACGTGACAAAGTTATTTAACATGACATTGCAACTGATTATTCCAGACCAGAGCACACAGCAGGGACTGGAGGGGAAGCAGCGACGTTCAGACGTTCAGGGTCAAGATCCAGTCCTCAGGGCCCTTCTCAAGACTTGCCAGGTTTGTGACCTCAGGGCACGTCATTTAATCTCTCTTGGCCTTAGCTGTTTCATCTACAAAATGGGTTACTAAAACCTCTCCATTTGAGGATCAGGGATTGAACCAGCCTTGTTTTTGGCATCCCTTCGTGTTCTAAGATGAACACTCCCATGAGGCTTTCAAATGAGACCATCTTCATCATAACAAGACTGTGTCCTCTTACACTGGAACAAGCTTCTTCCAAATCAGCTTCTCTTAAATAGAAAAGGAGTTGTATAACATCCCAAGGCTCCAATATGTAATTATTTAATTACAAGGTTTTATAAAGGGGAAAAAAAAACTGTTAGAAGAATTATTATTTAATGAGCCCTAAAGATTTTTCAGTAGCTATTGGGAAAAGAAAATTCAAAGCTTGGATTAATCCGAATTCTGGTGGTGGAACAATTTTCCTCGGTCTCCATCACAACAGTCTATTTTGATTCTTTAAGTGGTTGTAAGTGGACACATTTTCCTCCATCTTTTTCTTATAATGTGACAGTTAATTACCAGCTGTTGGATTGTAAGCAAGTATCACTGATGAGTTAATCTAGGAGAAAAGACAACTATGCGAAATACTGCCGATACCATACAATGCAACGTGTGGTTAAAAAATATATACGCGCTTGTATATACAAGTACACACGGAAATTTAGTACAGGAGTCCCAAACTGTCCTGAATTCTCTCCATCCTAAACAAAGAAACCACAAATCTCCAGTCTCGTTGAAGCATCTATAAAAACTAAGCTGTGGTTTAAGAGAAGGATGTCTGAGCATCTCAGATAAGAATCATAAGCATTTTTATTTCTGCAAAATCCTGCAGTACAATCTGGACAGGCTGAGCACGTACACTGCTGCTAGCCTAGCCACAAAAGTGTCCCCCGAAAAACCTTAGTAACTACCCTGAGAGCTAACCAACAGGCCAAATCAGGAGGAAACTGCCTCACATACCCCGAAAAAGCCCTGGTGTGTGTCCACTGGGTTTACTGCCCATCTCCTTCCGTTTCTAGAATGGGGCCTCTTGGATAGGGAGAACAGACAGCCACTAAGAATACATCAGGCTTTTTAGAATTTGGGGTACCTGAAGACAGAAGGAGGTGTTCTGGGACACCCTTCTCCAGCTTCTGGTAAAACAACTCAATTTTAGAGTTTAAAGTGACTTCCAACTTTCTTATACTGCATAAGGCCAGAAAGCAAGACTTCACCTTAAATATCGTTTTACAACTTATTTCACCTGCTATCAAGACAAGTCTGAGGAAGATATCTTGAATCGTGAATCTTTTTTTAAAAGAAACACGTGACATGCAAAAGCTCTGAGTAATTTACCCGATATCTTTTTAACTTTTACCAACAGAAATGCCCCATAAAACCTTTATTAAAAAGGCATCTAGAATATGCTTTAATATGCAAATCTGCAGGAAAGTGCCCTTGCCAGGCAAGGTATATACACACTCTGTCACAGTCTTTCCAAAGAATCCAATTCAATAATGGATTACACATTGGTTCAATTTATAATAACAACAGCCTCTTTCCCGAGTTCAACGTAAATTCAACGCACTTCTAAACCAGCCTCCTCCAAAAGGCTCCAGTTTGGTAAATACAAAAATGAGAGGAAAAGGTAGAAAACTTTGTGTCACATTGGCTATGTGAACAACACAGCCGCACCACTTCCCACATTCACTACCAGGCAGGCAGGTTAGGAGTCCCTTTATTTCTTCCTGCTGTGGTGAGGCAAGAAAGCAGAGAAAACCAGTAAGTCACCTTCAAAGTCTTCTAGTTGCCAAGAATTTTTACATTTTAAAGAGAACTTTGTCCCTAGGAATGACCGGGCCCAACCCTTTCCAGAGAAACTGACCAATAGACACTTTTAACAAGAAGAAAACAGGACGACTGGTTTGTTGTTTGTGTGTTTTCACAGGTTCGGCTGGTAAATTTCAAGATGAGTTTTCTGTTTTGAGACAAGAGAATTCGAAGTTCTAAAGTAACCCCTACACACACACACACACACCACATTTCTGATAGGCACATTAGGAATTTCTTATTATTGGAACTCAAATCCCACTTTTATGAAGGACGGTGAAAAGTTGCTGTGCGTTTTTGCAGGTATTCAGAACGCCATGGATCTAGGGCTGGACGCCGAAAGGCAGTAACTATTGATGGGCTGATGGGCATCAAGAAACTGGGCTGCGGCAGCCACCAGTCTGGGTTTGCCAGCGATAAGGGGTGCAGAACCAAGGACCCACAGAGGCAAACACAGGTGGGGAGCGCTCCGTCCACCCCCTGGCACGTGCGATGTTCCTCCTCGACCTCCGGACAGCCCCACAGGTGCAGGCCGCTGCAGGCGAGGCCGGGAGTGACAGGGGACTCGGCCAGGCCCCTTCCCGGAGGGGGAGGGGAGGGGACCCGGAACGGGAGCCATTTAAACTCTCTGCGGCGCTGGGAGCCAGCAGGGCTGGGAGCCGCCGCAGGGCGGCCAGGGTGGCACCCGGACCACACACCTATGCGCGTCCCGGTACCACGTTTCCGCAGGTGACCCGGAGACATGTCCGCCCCTGGGCCGCGGACACGACGGGTCACCCTCTCCAGCGCCCCTACCCCCGACGAGTCCCCCGCCAGAGGCCACCTCCGGGCTGTCACTGCGCGCGTCCGGCGGCCGCCTTACCTTGGTGATGACCAGCGGCTCGCCGTGCTCGCGGCCGCCCTTCAGGGTGAAGCCCCACGGGGCGCCGCCGCTCAGCCGCACCTCCACCAGGCGCCCGCCGTCGGCCG